TGTTCCACTGCAGAGTTTCTTGTTGCTAATTCTTTCTGTTGACAAATGTCTCAAACTTTCCGGAAATGCTTTTCGTGACATGTACACTGGCCAACTTTCTGACCAGTATAGAAGGACTGACTGACTTCACATTTGTGTTGAACAGAGTGCTAGCTGAGTGAGAGCAGACGATTTTCAAACTGGTTTCAGTTTGATGAAAGTGTATCTTGCCTTTCCGATTCTGGCTGGCTGGTGTCGACATCATCATCCATGCTGTGCGCCTGTGGTCGAAACCGCGCTTCCTAGCTGGATAAGTGAAGGAATTAACCTCTGTCAAATCTCTCCTCTTGATGGTGATTGGTGCTGGTTGTTATTGCTGTTGTCGGTGGTGGTTGGTTATCTTCATCACCTCCGTTTTCTCCATATTCACCTGTAGTCCTGTCTTCGCTGCCTGCTTCTTCTGCTAGATTGTTGGTTTTCGCCAGTCTGCCTGCAAGTCTTCGAGTTTGTGTGACATTAAACATAAATCATCTACGAAATCCAGATCTTTCAGAATCTTCTTGTCGGTCCAACATATAAATAATAATAATAATATACTAATCATAGGTAACACCAACCAACAACAACCAGTACCAATCTTCTTCACTCAGTCAGTCAGTGTAAAGAACAAGATTAAGATTCTGCTCAACACAAATGTGGCGTCAGTCAGTCAGCCAGTTCTTCAATATGTGTCAGAAACTTGGCATATCATGGAAAAGCATTTACAACACAGGCTTACTCAGACTTCTATCAACAACAGCTGCCGCCCTCACTGTCTCCATATTGAGGATCAAATGACCAGCCAGAAAGAATCAGCAATCAGAAAAAAACTCTGGGAAACGAACCAACAAGCGAGAACTTATCGCTTAACAACTATGAAGAAGAAAATGGAGAAGGACTGGGAACACGCCAATGAGGAGACAGGTCGGGTCACATACCACACACCAGGCCATTGCTGCAGTGCAATGAACGCCACAATAGGAAACGACGAGTTTGGCGTGTGTGCGATGGTAACATGGAGGAGATCAGACATTATGGGCAGTCGTGAGGCTAGCTAAAAAAAAGAGGACGGCAGACAAAAAAGAATATAGTGGAGACTTTCTGTTGAAGTCCTATGCTCCACTCAGAACCACCCAATGGAATAACAATAATAATAATAGTAATAATATCACCAGGTATCAATGTGAATAGATACACATGAAAACGAGGGCGTAGAAATTCAATGTTAACGAGTAAGGCGTGTTCATGCATGTTTAGATAGCAAGTTCAGAGCTTATATAGCTTATAAGAAAAATGCTGTTAAGTAATCAATGAGTATACCCTCATTTTTTGTCATGAAAAATCGATTAGATTTGTATGTGATTAACTATGAATACTATTGAACTGTGTCAAATCATAACGCCAACAGAAAAAGGAATTTGGTGTATACATACATGTATTTAGCTGGTTTGACTGCAAGCAAACATAACCTTTTTGAATAAAGCAAGAACAACAGTGCTTTTTACAGAATAAAATGGTATCATCACATCGTTTATTTCGTTGGTTTCTCATCATCTGCTTACAGGGCAAAGTCATTATTAAGTAGTATATCTACAGAAACAATTTTATCCTTCTCACATTAACTCCAACTATATATATACAAATCTACATGTATCTGCGGGAGCAGGTACACTGAAAGAACAGAAAGAAGGGCATATCTACGATTTTCTGAACATATACCAAAAAAGCATATGTCTACAGTTGGGAACAAATGCTTTAAACAGTACCGTCGTCAGGCATCTCCTTGACATGGGCCATGAGGTGGACGTTGAAGTCATTCAAAATTACCAATAGGCGCAAAAGAGTTCAATTCTCCTCAAGTTTACTGAAGCCATCTCCACCAAGTGCCTGAAACCTGATTTATGCGTTCAGAAAGAAACAGTTATCAGTCTTTCTTTGCCTTGCCCGGTAACTCGGTATTTTCACCTCTCTTTCATCTGATTACGTAATGCTGAAAAGTTTCCATTGTGTATGATCATTACTGTTCGGAATAGTGTTTAATATTATATATATTATTACTGTATGTATATATTGATTGATTTTTGTTTAAAAATGAACTCTGTGCAAGTATGTTAAAATTGTTTTTGTAGATATACTACTTAATAATGACTTTGGCCTGTAAGCAGCTGAGCTGATGAGAAGCCAACGAAATAAACGATGTGACGGTACCATTTTATTCTGCACAAACCGCCACTGTTGTTCTTGCTTTACTCAAATGCGCAATAAGTAGAATAAATGTATGAAAAATAACCTTTTCAAGTACAAATGTAATTAGAGAGAAGAGTTGTTTTTAATAAATTCTTCTTCTACAGGCTCTGTAATTATAAATCCATTAATCCATTTGGCATTGCACTGGCTAGAATTATATCAGAAAGTGTATTGTGGAACAAGTATAATATAATATGGAACAATAATCAGTTATTATTATTATCGTTTAGAATATGTATGGCCAATAAGAACTTGAGATGAAATAATTCAATGATATGTGTATATATCTACATATGGTCAACAAAACTGCAGGTTTGGAGAGTGAGTGTAATCAGTAGTGTGTGTATGTGTGCGTGAGACAATATGAATACTACAGAAAATAAACGAATGAATGGGGTGGACTAGACGTAGTTATAGTTACATTGGCTGTACACAGAGGGCTTAATCTATGCGCTCACGTGAACATGTACCTGCATAATTGGTTGGAGGGTTTCATCATGACATCAGTTAGAGAACCATTGAGAAACCCGCAGGGAGTACTGGACAGCCAGCTGTTACGTCAGCCTAGTTTGGAACTCTTCAGCAGTAAGCACACACCACCAGGGTTCTAAGCCACAACCTTCTGGTTACAAGACCAACGAGCTCGTAAACCATTAAGCCACTACAATACGATCCAATGGCCAACCCATGAATTATAGCTTCTACCAATTCGTGATCTAGCACGACTGGCACCAACCAATGTCATCAATGGAACATCCATCCTCACACTTGACTGGTTGGACCTCACTGGTCATGACTTCTCACTAGAAATCCAGGAAACTCCGTCCTGTAGCAAGTCACCGGCGAACATCAGATTAATTTTTAAGAGTTGGTTTGTAAGGATTAAATTTGTTTTTATGAGTTTGCCCACGGACTGATATCAGTTAGAGAACTGGACAGCTGTTTCGTCCGAGTTTGGAACTCTTCATCAGTACGCCTCCAACCCACATTGTGGGTGCCTTCTGCCAATTGTGGGTTCATCCCAGGACCTTCCAGTTACAAGGCAAGCTGGTTGACGACTATTCAGCCACTGGGACCCGATTCAATGACCAGTGCATGAATTCTAACTTCTCCTCCCTGGTTTTCAATAGCTCTCTAACTGATATCAATCCGTGATCAACTCGTAAAAACAAAACTAATCCTTACATAGCAACCAGAGAAGATCTATCATTTCTCATGGATACTATGATTTATTGTGTGTGACCAATTCATCGTCTTTTGTCTCACCTTGAACCGACACAAAAAACATGAAGAATCTGTACTTCGCCAATGTGATATATGTCTAATTTTCCACAAACTGGAAGATATGCACGTAACAAGCAACAAGTTGGAAGAAGAAGCATCCAGAGAAGATAGGACTTCAGGTGAACATAGAGAAAACAGAGGTGATGAAGATTCCTGCACAGCACCAATAACAGACAACAATCAGCATAAATGGGAGGAACCTGAAAGAAACAAACTCCTTCACCTACCTACCGACCTGGGAAGCATCGTTTCTACTAAAGGCGGACGGGACTTACGAGGATATCAAAGCAGCGAGGATTGGGAAAGTAAGGCAAGCTTTCATCACTCTCAAGTCTGTGTGGAGGACAACAGCACTCAACAGGGAAATGAATATAAGATCCGGATTTTCAACTCCAATGAGAGGTCAGTTCTACTATACGGATCAGAGACTAAGCGCCGTGTCACGAAGGGCACTTCGAACAAACTACAGACCTTCATTAACAGCTAGCTGTCTTCGCTCAATACTACTCAAGATCAGATGGCTATCCAGAAAAGATCAGCAATAGTGAGGGATCTCTGAGAGTGAACCAACCAGGAACCGATTGTGCAACAAATATGCACGAAGAAATGGAGGTGGATTGGCCATACTCTAAGAAAACAAACCATCAAGTGACATCACACGCCAGGCCGTTGGTCGAGTGGAACCCTAATGGGAAGCGGCGAGTTGGTCGTCCAAGGGTGAGGGTGACTTGGAGGAGGTCATGTGAAGAGGAGATGAAAGCATGTGGGCAGACCTGGAGCCAGGTGGAAACTTTAGCAGAGAACCGAAGGCAATGGAGACGCATGGCTGAAGCCCTATGTCCCTCTAGGAATTAAAGGAAACAATAACAATAATATTATTATTTATTATTATTAGTATTATTATTATCATTATTATTATTATTGGTCTCTGTAGGGTCACCAACCAATCAGGATAGATATTTTCAATCAATAAGAACATTCCATTTCCAAGGTTGTGAGCCGATTGTATTGTGATAAATTAAATATATAAATATGATGTTTTGTTTTCTAATAGATGTTCAATACAGCATGTTACAGTCACAGGCCAGCCAGTCTTTGTCTTTTGACATTTGTGAGGCTCAGTGAATCGGAAGGTACAACGGACAAATAGACGTATTAGCGCGTACCAGTCGAGTTCATTACCGTTATAGGCTAATTAACAGGAGCAGACGTAGCAAAATAGCAACAAGTCTATTCAGTTCAGTTCAGTTGTAACGATTGGCGACGGGTCATCCACACACACACACAAACACACACAACGACCTCCCCCCTCCTGGATGGTTTTGAAAGCTGCAGATATTTCTTGTCAAAAAACAAAACAGACAACAGTTTTACACCTCAACTCTCATTCAAATTCAATTGATTGAACAAACATAATTCTGATCAAATAAATCAAATCAAAATTGACTTACATGGTAAAATATCGTCATAACGATTTAAATAATAATTGTCTGGATGAACTGCAGCACGACACGTCAATTGATTCGCTTTCTCCAATTCACAACTTTTAGTATTTATCATCTATAGGAGATAAAAATTAATGTTAAAGAATACAACCAGTGGAAGAACTTATTTGTTCTGTAGCTGTAAAATTTCCTCATCTACTTGATCAGGTTTCAGTGGCTGAATGGTGGTCTACGAGCTAGCTCGCCCTGTAACTGGAAGATGCTGGCTTCAAATCCCGGCAGATGCACTCTTCTGAAAAGTTCCAAACTAGTAGGAAACAGTCGCCAGTACTCTAACTAATATAAACTGGTAACTAAACATGTAACAACCAATCAAATCCCTGTAAACCAACACTCCTCAATAATTAATCTTATGCTTACTGGCCACTGGCTCTATACAAGAAGATACCTGGAGGAGTGCCAGTAATAAGTCTTGAACAGAGGGGTCCATTAAGTCAGGTAAAAGAACAGTTACTGGCCGATGAGACTGGCTGGTATTTGCCCTACATATATATATATCGCAAATTCCAAGAAGTTAAGATTGGTGGGCCCTCGGAATTCATTCCAATGTCTGAATGGCCTTTGAGATGGCCGTGTAACCAGAAAGTGTTTAAGTAGAACCCAAAGTTTTCATCACCTGGCTCTCCAAATCTGCCCACATGCTTTCATCTCCTCTTCGCATCACCTCCTCCATGTCACCCCACCCTCGCACTGACGACCAACTCGCCGCTTCCCATTCGGGTTCCACTCGAGCGATGGCCTGGCGTGTGATGTCACTTGATGGTTTTCTCAAAGTATGGCCAATCCACCTCCATTTATTCCTGCTTATTTGTGGCACAATCGGTCCCTGGTTAGTTCGCTCTCAGAGATCCCTCACTATTGCTGATCTTTTCTGGCTGGCCATCTGATCTTGAGTAGTATTGAGCGAAGACAGCTAGCTGTTAATGAAGGTCTGTAGTTTGTTCGAAGTGCCCTTTGTGACACGGCGCTTAGTCTCTGATCCGTATAGTAGCGCTGACCTCTCATTGGAGTTGAAAATCCGGATCTTATATTCATTTCCCTGTTGAGTGCTGTTGACCTCCACACAGACTTGAGAGTGATGAAAGCTTGCCTTGCTTTCCCGATCCTCGCTGCTTTGATATCCTCGTAAGCTCCGTCTGCCTGTAGTTGAAACGATGCTTCCCAGGTCGGTAGGTAGGTGAAGGAGTTTGTTTCTTTCAGGTTCCTCCCATTTATGCTGATTGTTGTCTGTTGTTGGTGTTGCTCAGGAATCTTCATCACCTCTGTTTTCTCTATGTTTACCTGAAGTCCTATTTTCTCTGGATGCTTCTTCTTCTAACTTGTTGCTTGTTACGTGCATATCTTCCAGTTTGTGGAAAATTAGACATATATCACATTGGTGAAGTACAGATCCTCCATGTTTTTTGTATGGGTCCATTTTATGCTTGTCTCCTAGCTGCCCCCTCTCTCTCATTATCCAGTCTACCGCCCTCGATCAGGAAAGTCATTGAAGATAGTAGGCAGCCAGCTTGTCTTACTCTCGTCTTCACTTCGAAGGATTCCGTGAGTTTCCCGTTGTGGATTACTTGGCATGCAGCATTGTCGTACAACTGTTGGATGAGATGTATAATTGTCGGCGGCACCCCGTAGTAGCGAAGTAGTTTCCAAATCACCTCTCGATCGACGCCGCGCTATCGAGGTCCGTTTCAAAGTCGATGAAGTTGAGTGAGGTAGAGAGCTGACTGACATTCCAAGCTCTTTTCAATGATGATCCGTAGTGTTGCGATTTAATCGACGCATGACTTGTTCCTCCTGAATCCAGCCTGTTCCGGTTGAAGTTTTTCATCCAGGGCGGCGTGTTCGATTTTCTCCAGGATGATGCGGTTTAGTAGTTCGCTTGGAATAGACAGGAGCACAGTGCCGCGCCAGTTCTTGCATTGATTTAAGTCTCCTGTCTTTAACAGTTTGAATAAGTAGCCTTTCTTCCAATCCACAGATACCTTTCCCTCTTTCCACACCTTTTCCAGTAGTAGTAGTAGTGTCACTCTCTTCGTCAGATACATAATTGACTTTGATACCTGTCTCCATGCCGTGTTTCATTAACATCCAGTGTTTTATATTGTATATGTATTCGATAGACAATGTTAAGTAACGGAGTGTTATTCTATCTTATACAAGTAACCGAATACAGTTTGCCATATAATTTTCATTTGCCTTTACTGGCTATTTATATTCCAATAATTATGTCAAAGCCAGAATCGGAAAGGCGAAATTTGCCTTCATCAAACTGAAACCAGTTTGGAAATCTTCTGCACTGTACTCAGCCAGCATTAAGAACAAGATTCGAATATTCAACACAAATGTCAGGTCAGTCAGTTCTTCTATACTGGTCAGAAACTTGCCCAGCGTGCGTGTCACAAATAGCATTTCCAACAAGATACAGACTATTTTATCAAAAGCTGCCGCCTTAGTTGGTTCAATACTGAAGATCAAATGGCCGGCCGGCAGGCCAGAAAGAATTAGCAACAAGAAACCCTGCAGCGGAACACACCAACAGACGAGAGCCGATTTCTCAACAAATATGTAGGAGAAAATGGAGATGGATTGATCGGGCATACGCTACTGAGGAGGCCATGGGATGACATCGCGCTCAATGCAGGCGATCGCTCGATTGGAATCCGAATGGGAAGAGACGAGTGGGTCGTCACATCGAGGGTGACATGAAGGAGATCGTGCGAGTTGGAGGAGATTAGAGATTATGTGCAATCGTGGGGCTAGCCGGCTGAAAAGGACAGCGAAAAATAGAACAAAATAAAGATGTGTTGTTGAAGCCCTATGTTCCACTCGGAACCCAAGGAAATAATAATAATAATCATGGTCACAGCAATGATTCGTGTACAATGGTCATAGAATAATACACTTCGGCTAATCAATTTGCTGGATAAAGAAGACATTCAGAAGGATTAGTATTATATAGAAACAATACAAACTTGGTATACTATAGGCACCATAAGATTCGCCATCTGTATATGGGCTCCCAATCAGCAACAGGGATCCCTGGGAGCGAACCAACCAGGAACTGATTGTGCCACAAATAAGCAGGAAGAAATGGAGGTGGATTGGCCATACTCTGGGGAAACAAACCATCAAGTGACATCACTAGACAAGCCCTCGAGTGTAACTCGAAAGGGAAGCGGCGAGTTGGTCGTCAGTGCAATGATGGCATGTAGGAGATCATGTGAAGAGGAGATGAAAGCATGTGGGCAGACCTGGAGCCAGGTGAAAACTTTTGCAGAGAACCGAAAGCAATTGAGACGTGCAGCTGTGGCCCTATGTTCCTCTGGCGATTAAAGGAAATAATAATAATAATGTGGGCTCTATAATCCAAAAGAACAGAGCAGTATATGAACCTGTTTTCAGTCTCACCAGAAACCATAAGAACGCAGATGCTGCTGTCACTGTTCCCCCTACCTTGTTGATCAGACTTCAGATCAATCAAAGTCTCAGAGGATGAGGCTCCTTAAGATAAGCACCTGATTCGATCGATCTAGGAGTCTGGGTATTACTCTCCACACACCCATCACACGAACTATGAGATTTTGTATTGAGTAGCTCTGGTTGACCATAATGTAACAAATTTGTATTTAAATAAAGTAAATATAAATAAATAAAATAAATCAATAAACTTACATTAAACTGATCAATAAGTAATTGTTTTGTACTACTACTACTCAGAGATTCATTTAAATATTCTTTGAATTGTGATCGAAAAATCAGTGGAGAACTGAAATTAAAATCAATAAGATACATTATAGACAAGTGTTTAGGTGTGTGCGCCTGCTGAATAAGTCAGTTTACAAAGAAAGAAATAGTTTGATGGATGATATGGCTGGCAATGGAATGCATTTCGTCCTACTTAGGATTCGTCAGCTAACCGAATGCAGTTGGGTTCCCGAGTGAGTGAGTGATGGTGGTGTAGCTGTGGCGTGTGCTATATAGATGCAGAATAATGATAGAAAGCAGTTAGAAGTTGTAATCAACATTTTAAGTCGGTGGCTGCAGAGACAGGATTTAGCTTACGTTGTGGTCCGGAAATAATCTCATTGGACAACTTTTCGTCCCTTTATTCCAATGTTATGGACCAGTCACCAACTAATTTACTTTGTTTTTATTCCTTTACATTCCGAGTGGGGCTTCAAGCTTGAGATTTGAAATTTCGGTAGCATTGGTTTTACTTTTACGGTTTGGGGTTGATAGGTTCACGTTCAACCTCCCCTCTTTACCGGGCCTACTACCTGTTTAGTAAGCTCGATCGAGAATGGACCACATGTGGAGTAGTTGGCGAGCGTTCTACCGCTGAACAACTAATGCACAATTAAACCTGGGAGTACTGGACAGACAGTTGTTCCGTCAGCCTAGTTTGAGACACTTCATCATTACACACCCACCGGTGTCCGAGGCCAGAACCTTCTGGTTATAAGGCCAGCCCGTAGAGCATTAGGCGCCAATGGAACCCAACCAGTCATCAATCAGTCAGAATAGTTTATTGTCCGCCGACCTAGTCGACATTTGATGTGATTAAAAAGGTGTAAATATGATGTGTTTTTCCTTAGTAAAAATGTCCGTTACTAATTCTATTATCCTCTCCCATCGAGACACGAATCTACTACCTATCGTTTCAAACACCACTAGAATATCTGGGCCATGAGAGCCATCTTTTTTGCAACGAGCATCAGTTAATCTTTGTTTTTAAGCCTCGATTGGGAACACTGTCACTCAGTCACTGGAGTATGCAGGTACATCCAACTGGTAGCAAACGAGTCAGTCCCAAAATGGGAGGAAATGCTTATCCTGGTGGATTCTACCTCTAATCACCAAATGCATTTATATGAGCGCATTTCTTGGGATCATTGTCGGCCAAAGGAAGTATATACTGTTCAGCTGCAGTTCGCTCCGTCCTCCTTGGTGGTTGACTGTGAGTGAAACATGGCCATTGAAAGTGGAAGATACGAAATGGCCAGCCAGCCAGCTACCTGTCTTTAATCATGTATGTCTGCGTTCTATCTCCTGTGTGTGCTAAGTGATAGGCGTAATAAGGTGAGCAATATTGAGGTCAGGCATCAGTCGATTGCGCTAGATAAGGAAGAGGGAAAATCAATCGACTAGATGGTTGTGAAGCAGCTGCACCGATTGAAATGGTTAAGACATGTGTTATGCATAGCCATTGCCTTCCTCGACAATGGGCAATCTTAGCCAATATAGGATGGATCAGGCTGGAAAAGAGTTAGCTAGTGGTGGTCAAACAAAAACATGGCTTCATTAGTCAATGAAATCCACAACAATTAGTTTAAGCCAGCCACGTAGGGAGGTGTGCACTTCCCGACTGGTTGGGGACCTTGGGATGGTAATAACCAATGTCAGTGTTTGGAGACAATTGGTGATATGGCTGGCGCAGATGAATTCACTCTTTGTGATTTATGATATCCAATAAAATCCTATTGTTCTTCCATATTACTATCGATTTTCCTTCCCCACTTCCGTTTATTATCTCTTTCTCTCTCCTTTGAATTTCTCTTCTCTTGCATTGTGTGGTACAAGGAAGGAGTGTAACAAGTTGAACTGCTGCACATCTGTGCAAAGTTCTACGTGGAAACCAGTCGGTGACAACCTCATCATCGACTGGCTTGCTCCGCACCCTCACTCCTCAACCTAGCCGTTTTACGTCTAACACAGAAGATGGAATGCAAACATATGTAGTTCTACGTTGAAACCAGTCAGTCAGTCACTCAGTTCAGTGGATGTCACTGGAAGATTTTAAACAGGCTTTATTGACAAGCATTGATTTAAAAAATGGAAACGTGATGACAATAAGATAAAAAGGCACTGTATTGATTATTTATTATTATTATTATTGTTCCCTTGGGTTCCTAGTGGAACATAGGGCTTCAACTGCAAGTCTACACTTGCTTCTGTCTTCTGCCGTACTTTTCACTTGCATCCATGTTAGTCCATATTGTTTCAATTCCTCTTCACACGATCTCCTCCATGTCACCCTTGGACGTCCCACTCGCCACTTCCCTTTCGGGTTCCACTCGAGGGCCTGATGCGCGATGTCACCCAGCGGCCTCCTCAGCTCAGCGAGTGTCCAATCCATCTCCACTTTCTCCTGCATATTTGTTGAGCGATTGGTTCTTGCTTTGTTTGTTCCCATAGTTTCTTGTTGGTTCTTGTTCTTTCCGGCCATCTGATTTTGAGTATAGAGCGTATAGAACTGACTTGACGTTTGTATTGAAAATCCGAATTTCGTTGTTGATACTGAGTGACGAAGATTTCCAGATTGGTTTCAGGTTGATGAATGTGTATCTCGCCTTCCCGATTCTCGATTTGACATCCTCGTCCGTTCTTCCTGTAGTTGAGACAATGTTCCCTAGATAAGTGAATGAAGTAACCTCTTTCAAATACCTCCCGTTGATGGTGATTGGCCGTGGATGTTGCTGCTGTTGTTGTTGGTTGGTTGGTTATTTTCATAACCTGTGTCTTGTGTATGTTCACCTGGAGTCCTGTCTTTGCTGCTTCTTCGACCAGTTTGTCAGTTTTCGCTTGTAAGTCTTCGATTTTGTGTGACATCAAACATAAATCATCCGCGAAATCCAGGTCTTCTAGGTTCTTCACGTCGGTCCAGGATATCCCTGTCTTCTCGTTTCCCACTGTCTGACGCATAATCCAGTCCACCACAATTAGGAATATCATTGGTGATAATAAGCACCCTTGTCTGACTCCTGTGTTTACTCCAAACGCCTCGCTGAGTATTGATTATTGCTTCAGTACAATGCACATTTCATATTAATCGATTATTTTTTCGACCAAAGAGATTATCTATCCTCTCAAGTATCGAAGTTCAATTTAAAAGCCTGATTAGAATTTACTATCATAACTCAGTGGTAAACATATTGTGGTTTAAAGGTTAAATCTGTATATCGATAATACCTGTGAAAATTTTATGCATTGTGAAATGGATCAATTAATTATAATTGCATTTCAGTAGAGGTTTACACATAATATAAACGGTAGGAGACGAGAGTCCTGAGACTTGGTATCTCTATGCAGCCAAATTATGTACACCTCATCTTCAAAGCACCATTCGCAAAGATCTTCCGTGTCATGCTTGCTACTTCTGCCCTTTCTTCGTATTGAGTGTTTCTTTGTGTTCCTTTCACGTTGTCTCCCATATATCCGTATCATTTGCTTTCTCTGACATCAAATCTATCTCTTTGCTATTTGATGTTTTTATGCCAATGAATATCTCTGTACATAGATATACTACTGATAACTCTTATCAGTAGCACAGGTCACAATAATGCTAAAGAATTTAATTAAGTGAACTATTGGAAAACCAACAGACAGTACTGCTACAGACAACTGTTTCGTCCTAGTGTTTAGGATTCTTCAGCAGTACGCCTCCACCGAAGATCCAAACCCACAACCTTCCGGTTATACAGCGAACTCGTAGACGATTCAGCTACTTGAACCCGACTCAACAGCCCATGAATACCAACATCTATTGGGAGTGTCTGTCACTCATTGGTGGTGGTTTCCGATGGTTCTCTAAGTGATATCAATCCTTGGTCAAACGTGAAAAAAACAAATCAAATCCCTACTAAATCAACTGGTGAAATTTAATCAGAATGGAGTTGCCTGCAGTTCTAGTGATAATTCATGACCATTGGGGTCCATTAGGTTGTTGTAGGGCGTCAGAACAGATATATACATACATACTGACTGGTGCCAGTCAGTCGCGCTAAAATGACGAATTGATAGAATATAGAAAATATCCCCATTTAGACATTTGGAAAACACAAAAGATTGAGCGAAGAAATATTTACTTTTCAATTAGATCCTCTTCTATGGCTCTACTCTAATATATATAGCATTTTTACAATACACAACAATTTACCAAACAAGTGGTGATATGTTTGTTAAAAATATTTAAACAGTGTCAAAATGTCAATGGGTTGATAATAAACGCAGAAAATCAATACACACATTTAAAAAGTGGAAATGGATAGAATAAATTAATTTTACAAGAATAACACGTAATTAAAGATGAAGTGGTCAAAATAAAAATAAAAATAAAATAATTTGGACAATTATAATTTAATAGGGGGAGGGGGGCGACGTAGTCCTGTCTTGTAAGGATGGCCACGGTAATTACGTGTTATTCTTGTAAAATTAATTTATTCTATCCATTTCTACTTTTTAAATGTGTATTGATTTTCTGCGTTAATTATCTACCCGTTGACATTTTGACACTGTTTAAATATTGTTAACAAACATATCACCACTTGTTTGGTAAATTGTTGTGTATTGTAAAAATGCTATATATATTAGAGTAGAGCCAGAGAAGAGGATCTAATTGAAAAGTAAATATTTCTTCGCTCAATCGAATTGATAGAAGTTAGAAGAATTTAAGGACCACTTAGTTGGGTCGCAGTGGCTGAATAGTCAGTCTAGTGTGGGTTCGAATCCCGACTATAGTCCGAAACTAAGACAACACACCTGTCTAGTACTCCCTGTTGGTTTTCAGAGGTTCTCTCTAACTGATGTCAGTCCGTCGTCAAGGTCGAAACATATCAGATACTCATAAACTAACTGACGTAAGCAGAATAATGAGGTACACATAAAAAACTTACCATAATTTCACTGTTCGAAGTTGTTCAGGTAGATCATAGATTAGATTAGTCATTTCAAATCTCGGAAATGAGGTCAATTGATCTAAAAATAAAATGAAAAGAAGCAAATATGAAGGGAAAATAACTAAATTTATCTCTTAATGCACTATAACACATTTTTATCAGCGGTGCACTTTTGATCTCTTTATTATTATCATCTCAACAACAGTACATAATTAAAACAATTAGTCCCTTTGATAAATTTGAATAAGACGTCAAGAAGACAAATTTCGCGAGATGATATCATCATTTCGTAGTTTCCTTACAACCGCTTTGCAACTAACATGGTTAACAATAATAAAATAAAGATCATGACAATTACTCAGTTAAATAAAAAACACAATGGTACATACTAATGACCAATCATATTTAGATAGGTCATGTATTCCAGGGTAGGCGAAGATTGAAGTCTATTGATTTTTGTACACACAGTTTAGGCTGTATGTGATTAATCCCCCAAAGTGCTTCCATCACCTTCAATAACCTTGAATTAGAGTTATGTGAAATAATTGTAAAACAGTCATTAATATTGATTGATTTTGTGACCTGACATTAATAAGTGTTTTGCAATGGATGATGCTGGATTTCTATTCAGATTAATCGCATTGGGATTTTCAATATGATTTAGTAACCATTTTGGAACATGTTCCTTTCGACGACATTGGAACATTCTGTTGTTTCTACCTATATAGGTGTCACCGCAGCTGCAGGTGAACTTGTAGATACAGTTTGAAGTAGAGTCCACAGAATTTCGTCCTTTAATCGTGTAGGTACAGGGATTGTGCGTCGGTGGCACAGTGGTTAGGACTCTCGCCGACCATGCACATGGTCCGGGGTTCGATCCCCTGCCGGCGCACACCCGATATCTATGGTCGGCCTGTGAAATTTGGGCTACCGATATCCATGCTGAAAATACCATACTTGTAATGAAAATACTGTGTGGTATCAAGCTGTAATCAAAAATAAAAAATAAAATAAAAAATGTCCGGCAAATGAGAAAAAGAGATGCGGCTTATAATGTGCGTTTGATGGCTGACCGAAGTCTTTGAGCTGTCTACTGCATAACCTGATCACCCTTGAATGATAGGTTAATAAAGATAGCTTTCTTTGGTATCGAAGCTGTCTTTTCTAGATGTGGTCTCTCCTTGATGTGACGATGGAAAAAGTTTTCTGGATAACCATTTGCTAATAAAACTGAATGTATATGTCGAAACTCATCCATCGATGTGTCACTCGTGCATATTTTTCGGTCCCTTGAGAACAAACATTTCATTAGGGAACGTTTATACTGGATAGGAACAAAACTGGTAAAATGAAGATATTGTCCACTCCATGTCTGTTTACAAAAGTTAATCGCTGAATCGTACCATCATCTCTCCTAGTCATAGTAATATTCAAGGTTATTGAAGGTGATGGAAGCACTTTGGGGGATTAATCACATACAGCCTAAACTGTGTGTACAAAAATCAATAGACTTCAATCTTCGCCTACCCTGGAATACATGACCTATCTAAATATGATTGGTCATTAGTATGTACTTTTGTGTTTTTTATTTAACTGAGTAATTGTCATGAACTTTATTTCAGTATTGTTAACCATGTTAGTTGTAAAGCGGTTGTAAAGAAACTACGAAACAGTGCATAAGTTTCAAGTAGGGGGGTGGTGGGGTGAGTTATATTCCGTGGTGTGAGAGAAATATGCATACTACAAAACGCACATACAGACAAATGAGGAACACTGAATGTATTTGATTATAAAAGATTTTGTATTTCCCGATGAATGAATGAATGAATGAAAAAAAACGATACTGTTGTTGTTTTTATTGACATCTCGTTATTTATTGCTGCTACTAATGTAGCTTTATCTAATTGGTATTATTGGTACCAGAATTTACAAAATCCACTTAGCTTATTATGTAGCAACTTACGGGATGCGGTTGCTAAGCTCATATCCAACCTTCCCTCTTTGCCGGCCCTACTATTGGCTTTGTGAGGTAATAATGAAGGGCGTCGGCTGGGGATCGAACCCAGGACCACGTGTGACGTGGTCAGGCCAGCGAGCATTCTACCGTTGTGCCAGTGATGCACAAAAACACATTACCAAGCAAATATATATCCAAGGAAATGAAGATGGATTGACAATATATACTAACGGGACCATTGAGTAACATCGTGTAGTAGTAGGTCATTACCCCAGCGGAAACCAAATGGGAAACTATGAGTTTGGCGTGCATCTGAGGCTGACAGGAAAGGAGACTGTGTGAAAAGGAAATGAGAGTAAATAAATTGTCTGTCTATTTTCGACATTGAACTTTGCACATATGTGCAGCAGTTCAAGTCGCCACACTCCATGTAGCACACAAAGCAAGAGAAGAAAGTAGGAGAAATGCATATTAGACACAGTAAACAGAGGTGTGAGACACAGGAATAGTAATATCGAAGAACAATATAGTTCCATTGGACATCATAAGTCATAAGGAGTGGATGCATCTGCACCAGCCATTGAGAACGATTTTGAGCCATGTCACCGATTGTTTCCAACCATTGGTTTTTACCGTCCCAATGACCCCAACCAGTCAGGAAGTCTACACCTTCCTACGTGGCTTAGACTAACTGTTGTAGATTTCATTGACTGGTGCCATGTTTTGATTTGACCACCGCTAGCTCTTTTCCAGCCTGACCCTATATCAGCTAACATTGCCCATTGTCGAGGAAAGCGATGACTAGGCATACGTAACACATGTCCCGACCGATAGCTGCTACCTTGACGTGGTGGTCGGGCTTGCATATCGCAATGACCCAACGAGCTACACTGACTACACTGTTGCTGTAGGTCCTACCATGCCAGAAAGGTTGTTTGGATAGCGGTTATACAAAAAGCAGCTACCCAATCCAATACTATGATTCAAACAAATTCACAAAATATTATGCCGGATCAGTCGGGACCCGATTTAACAACGACCGCGCTTCCTGCTGCCGTGTCACAGGGCAGAAGTGATAAATATGCTACTGAGACACACCAAACAAAAAAGAACAAACAGATAAATTATAATTATATTTCAATAGTTTACACACAATGATAAGTTTTTGCTTTTTGGTAATATTTCGAGCAAAATTACTACTGCCCGTGATCACACCAACTGTTGGAATAGTTTTTAAAAAATTTTAATTCACACATTTATGATTTATACTCATATACACAGTCCCCTATTTTTGTTCATTCATTTTTGTGTATTCATAATTATATTCCAGGATTTTGACAGTGGTGCTGAGTCATCCTTCTTACATGTATCTGATGTGACCTTAATGAATATAAATTCTGTTATAAGTCTCTCTTTCCATTTGTTCATATTAGTTTTTAGAATACAATCGATATTGTGGTTTTTGTCCCATGCCGCATGTGCAGCTATAGAAGAATTTCTTTCTAATCTGGTGTAAGCTTGTGTTCCTGTTGGTTGACCTTTATGGTCAGGCGTTTATGTTCATTCACCCTTATTCTTAGTGATCTGGACGTTTGACCCACATATTTAGTCAGACACACGGCACGAGATATTTTGTAAATCACATTGTTTTTATCCATCATTTTTTTGGATCTTTCAGTTGATTTATTTTGTTTTTAATTAGATTTATCGGTTTAAACGTCGTGCCAATCCTAATATTTTTGAGGTTTCTTAGAATTGCCTCTGATGTACTTTTTTTGTATGGTATTGTGATTGTTGTTTTGCCTTCCTCCCTCTTGTCATTTTCTGGTTTTACCCTCTTTTTTCTCTTTTTTATATAATCTCTGATAGATCCTTTTGGGTAGTTGTTGTCGAGTAACATTCTGAATAAGACGTTTATTTCTTTACGCTGGTCATCTGGTGTTGTTGTAAGTCTACGCATACTATCTGCAAGACCTTGTATTAATCCTAGTTTTACTGTGAGTGGATGAGCTGAGTCGTAATCAAGGAAACTTCCAGAATGTGTACTTTTTCTATGAATCGTCGCTTTTATGCTTCCATCTGTTACTCTTCGTATTTTGCAGTCTAACATAGGTAGTTCCCCAATTTCAGTCTCTATTCCCATAGTGAATTTTATTGACTCGACATAACTGCTTATGTGCGAGGAGAATTTCTCAACATGGTTCTTTTTCATCATTACTAATATGTCGGCGACATATCTTCGCCGACATGACTACGTTTAAACCGATGAATCTAATTAAAAATAAAATAAATCAACTGAAAGACATCAGAACAAAATATTTAGAGCGAACAATTTTTTTCAATAAATTCTTCTTCAGGCTCTACATTTATAAATCCATTAATTTAAGCATACAATAGCCATAAAGGCAGATTAGAATCATATCAGAAGGTGTATTGTGGAACAAGTATAAGATGGGATGGAACAATAGTCATATAGTTTTTTAATATGCATGGTCAATGAGAACATGGGACAAAATCAGATGAAGTAATTTAATTTAATGATGTGTGTATATATATAGATATAGTCAACAGAAATACAGGTTTCGAGAGTGTGTGTAATCAGGGTGTGTGAGGCAATATGAAAATAGACCAACGAATGGGGCGGACTAGACATAAGTTCAAGGTTGAAAATAACGACAGTAAGAATGATTGTAAAATAATAACGATGATATGGTGTAAAATTACATGCACTATTGGTGAATGATTGTCAAATAATAATAATGAATATAATGAAGTGGAATGAATAGGATTTTTTTGTAAATACGATAGCAAGGTAATAAAATCATAAGAAAGGTCATGAAATCATAAAAGTCGAAAATGAACGATTGTCAATGAAACAGAGGAATAGAAGAAGAAGAAAAGAAAAGAAAATTGTGAAAGGAATTTATAGTGTTAATGGAGGATTTGTTGGCTTTATTGTAGGCCAAGGTAAACATAATGGTTGAACATACTTCTTCTGTATGCAAAGAGATGGTCTTCTGGTATTAATTGCCACCGCTTCAGCTACTGATAGAAGACGCAGTCGAGCTCCTCTAGATAAATTACTAGGAACGCGGTGAATAACTGAGAACGCCTGGTCAAGT